GTGTGGAACAGGTGCACAACACATTTCACTGCCCTTTACACTCTGTATAACTGTGTTTGTGACCAATAAAGGCCTTGAATCCTTGAATTCTTGAAGAAGTTGAACTTTTTCCGGTTGGAGTGTGGCGTCTCCCACATTCCTGTCGAGCCGGTGAACGCACCACTTTAGGTGTCCTTCCCACTGCCTGCAGAGAAACCGTAAATGTCACTATCGGCAGCGCCGCTTCTGCCCTCCAATGCTGGACTTATTCCCCACATGCTGAGTTTCGGCGTGTCCCAGCCTGCACGTCCTTTTAATGCCCCTCTGACCCGCGCTGCGTCCGTCGTCTCTGTTCGGTGTCTGTAAGCGTTCGCCGCAGCCATGGAGTGTCGCGTCTTGTCCATTCAGAGTCATGTTGTCAGGGGATACGTCGGGAACAAGTCGGCAACGTTCCCGCTGCAGGTAAGAACCGGATCTGGGGCAGATCGCTGCTCGAACCGGCCACAAAGAGGCTAAACGCCGTGAAACACGTGAAGAAAACAGAAGAGAAAAGCAGGATGTGACTTCCTGATTTATCGGAGGAGTCTTGAATGAACTGCACCGTTAACTCAGCGACCTTTTCTGCCCTTAAAAACACAGGCCTTTTTCCGGTTTTTACTCTTAAACGACTTAGCTTGATGCTGCAAACCTGAAACTACCACAAATAAAGTGTTTTAAAGCAGAATATGTGGCATTCAATGTTATTTTTAGTCAGGTTGCTCGTTAGCCTACTATTCATGCTCCTTCTGGGCACATGAAGGGCAGCTACAGGTACAAAAAAACCTGTTGTTTATATTGAGTGTATTTAATCTGAGGAAAGTGTGGATTAGAAGAAATAAGTCAAGTCTTTGTTCCACGTGGTTGTAGCTGCTGTTGTGCATGAAAAAAAGGCAAAAATAAAGCAGTGTTTGTGTCTTAAAGCTGCACTTCAGAAAACACAACAACAATAATAATAAGTACAGTAAAGTTTTTAAGGTCTTTAGAGTTCATTCACCAACTTAAATTAAACATTTCAACGTTATTCATAGTCAGATTGCTCATTAATCTACTATTTATATCGACTCCGAACACATTATAAAGATATCAAACAGGGCAAATCGGTGCTTAATACTGAATCTAATCTATCAGATGAACGTGTAGATTATTTAAATCAGTTTCAGCATTGTTCTACGTGGTTGGAGTATTTGTTTTTTTTTTAGCCAAGCCAAAGGTGATACCAAGGACGACAATAAAAAGTCCTCAAAAGTTTTCAGTTTTTTTTTTTAAAGTTGTCTGATCCAATGAATGTAAACAAACCTGGATGAGTAAATGCATTTTAGTGAAGCTCATATGTGTAACTTGTTGATGTTGTTTGTAGGTTATTAATGTGCAATGCATGACTGTGCAGCTCCAACAAAACCAGCTGACATCATCTGTTTTATGGTTCTTATCTCCAACAAGTTTCATAACTTAGTTTTTTTATTGTCCACAGCAGTTGTTATTGTCGCTGCAGGATGCGGTGCTCTGAAGCTGAGGCGTGTGTTGAAAGCCAAAGTAATGCATAATATAGTCAGAATGATTTTTAAAAATAAAAGTAAACTGTGGGTGAAGCTTGCATGTGGAGCAGCTCTCTCAGCCACACAGCACGCTGTTCCCACCGTGCAGCTCATCAGGAGTTCATTCACGCCTGATCCTGCAAAGACATTGTTCTCTGTTTTCACAGCTGCTTAAATGCTCTTTTTTTTTTTCCAGGTGCTGGGCTTTGAAGTGGACTCCATCAACTCTGTGCAGTTCTCCAATCACACAGGTTGGCTGAGTGATTTGTTGGAGTCACAAAGTGTTTTGCATTTAGTTTTCTAGTTTTTCTTTCCAAAGTTTCCTTTCCTACTCCTCAGCCTTTATCTCCTGCATTGAACTGTCCTTACTGATATGTTGTAGAGCTCAGAGTAGAGTTCATTATGCAGTTATTCTCTCTGTAGATGCCACAGAACAAAGCAGATTTACGCACTCTGCTTAGTGTTACAAACATTTCTCTAATTAATTTACAGGACCGTGTCTGTTTGTGCTTCTACGTGCTTTAATGTTGGTAAAATATTTACCAGCAATGGTAACTCAGTTCCTGAGACGTTTGCTGCAGCCTGGAGATGCATCACATCTCGTTAGGCCCGTCGCCTCCACTTTATTAAAACATGTGTTTAGGCCGTTAAAGCTGCTGCTGATGAAGCGCCGTAAAAAGCAGGAATCCGTAAAAGACAAACTACCAGAAGCAAAAAGACTAGTTTGACAGGTTTGTTAGGGTTTAAAGACCCGAGTCTGTGTGAGGTGGAAACGGCAGCCGTAAACAGAATTACATTGATTACAAGAAAACTCCCTTGTGTGGATTTAATGAGGTGCCTGAGACGGCAGCACGGAGGTGATAACAGAGTCAACCGCTGTTCCTGTACTTCGCCTTGTTAGTGCGGAAACCTTTGGATGAGTTGAGTGCTTTATCTCAGGCAGGGAAAGCCACTCACTGTGAAGCGTCCGTCAGGTTTACAGGAGGGAACTCAGGCAGCGTTTAACTGGAAGAGTTAATGTTTTTCTAAGAACTGGCCTCCTCTCAGGTCCGTCCAATGACCAGAGGAAGGAGACTCCAGAGTCAGAGCAGAGCTACAGGACATGAATGCAGTTAAACTGTTATTTGTCGGCTTTCTGACTCCCTCTGACTGCAGATTTTGTGTTCTAGCAACAAGTGAGAATGATGAATGTGTCAGACCTGCTATATTAGATATTAGGCTCAGTTTTATACCTAGAAAGTGTTTTATATAGGTTAGTGATGCCCTTAAGGTTAATGAATGCTTTTG